TTTTTTTTTTTTTTTTGGTGCTTTGAAACATGCTCAATTGTTGAAAGTATTTTTCGCCTTTTCAGTGTGTAGGCCACCAACCTTTTTTCTTTTGCCTCCCCAAAAACAAAAGCCCTTTTGCCTTTTGGATTTTTGCAAGACTCACTTGATCCGAGGCACCTAAATTCAATCATAATTACCCCATTAGGAGGACACCATTGCAACAGTTATATTTATAGATTTTCTTTCTTAAAAAAAAAAAAATTCTTATGTAAGGACAATTTATATGATTGTACCCTTCTCCAACATTTCTTCATGAGATTCCATACGCTATGATTGATTTTGACCACTTTTCTTCTGAAGAAGATCCCTTCTTTCATTCTTTTCACTGCCCATTGTAAATAACTGTTTGTACATGTGTTTTGTCTTACAGTAACTGAAACCTGGAAAAATGTCTGAAAAATTAAGGTATATATTTCTTAAGATTTGTCTTGGCTTTCATGATGCAATTTTTGCTTTTGACAAGGGATGTTAAATGTAACATACCCAAGAAAAAGGAAGACAAGGTTCAAAGTTTTAATGATGGTAAACTCACTAACATGCCATGATTTACTCACCTTTGGTGAATTAAAAGTAAGACAAAATAATGGGATGCAAAACAACTTTAATTTTTTTTATGGTTGTGGGGAGCAAAATCAATTTCCAAACAGGTAAGCCATCATGAAGTCTCAATGACATGGACTGGACACCAACACCCAAAAAAGCAAACATGAACTTTGAAAATTTTTTGAAAGATGACACCAAAATTAGATGCATAAAATATCAGATTTGGTCATAGATGAAACCCTAATTGAGAGGTAATATCTTGAATGAAAATGACATGAAAAAATATTGTTCATTTCTCATGTGAGAAACATACCACAATGGCAATTTGAATTATAAAAATTTTGAAGTTGTTTATTGAGACAACATATGAACATTCTTGATGATAAAAATGACATGAAAGAGTGATGATAGGGAGAATAAAATTTTGAGATGAAAATTTATGATTAATAATGTGGCTTATGCCATGTCATTAAATTAGTTAATGGATACAATATCACAAAATATTTTTTAAAAAAAAACCAATAATTAAATAATATATGACTCACCTTTTAATATTTTAAATAATGTAACTTATGTCATGTCATCGGTCTTAGATTTTGATCCCTTTTATCATTATTCAACATGAAAACATTGTTGATTTCCCCCAATGAGAAGCATGCCGTAAGGGGATATTTGATGCAAACACAAGCGAAAAATGTAAAAAGAAGAAAAAAGACAACGACAAGTAAAAGATATAACCACACTTTCAATCACAATTAGTTTCTTAATGTTCATATCAATAGTAAAACATTCTAACCCAACAAAATCATTAATAGAAAATGGAACCTGACTTTTGGGCCCAATAGTTCGACTCCAAGCTTTAAGTGCTTGAGTGAGATGATCGGAGCTTTGAACTTTACCACCGTCGTGAACTCCACCAAAAAACGGCCTGATGGTCACGCGCCTCATTTGAGGGGATGGAATGTTCACTCGATCTGGGGATCGAATCCCTAGTTACTAACAACTAATTCATACTAACTTCCTAATCATTACTCTTGTCAAAAAAGAAAAAAAAAAGAAAAAAAAAAAGAAAAAGAAAAAGAAAATGGCAACTAAGCTCATAGAAGGCACGCGTATATTCACCAATGGTGTTTTCCTACCAATGAGTCTTTGACCAAGTGGATGAAAAGACAAATTCTGAGATCATTAGAGGTTTTGAGATTTCGAGTCTCAAATTAATCTCCAATCCCTACTAATATATAAAGTAAAATGAAAATGATATAATTACAATGTAATATGGTATTGTAAGCTTACAATATTATTGTATTATTAGGCTTTTTTTCATTTAGAGGTTTATTTATGAAGTTGTGAGTGGCTACTCATTTAATTATATATATCATGATTGTAAACTTATAATCTTACATAGGGTTATAACTATAACATTATCAAAAGTAAAAAAAAAAAAAACCAAAAAAAACCAATCAAAATCTTTAATTCTCCGTTAGTGAGACTAAGAGAAGTTAAGATGTTTTCATTCATTGGGGTTGTTTGCTTAATTTTGTTAACCTTCAATTCTTACCTGATTTAGAAAGGAAACTACTTGGAGATATAATACCCTCTGATAGTGAAGAATTTAAAGTGCTTGCCAGCTTTCTTAATGTAGAAAAGTGATGATTTTCTGTTGCTTTTCTTAGTAAGCGTGGTTTGGCTTTTGTAAAAGATTTGCTCAGATCCCATAGAAATTTCAGACTCTCCAAAATTGCATCCTAGTCCCCAGACCTTGGAAATTATGAGAGAAAGAGACCAATGGTCCTACCGAAATCATTTGGATTCCCACTCAATCGCATTCAGTGTCTCTTTTCTTGTTGGCAGCACTAATTTCCAACCCAAACCAAAAGCTGAATCCTCAACTTGCTTGAATTTAATCTCAAACCAATTTTCCATGAAAAAGCTGCTCATCTTCCTTATCTTTCAAAGAGCTCAACTATAAGGTTCACATACACACATGCATGCTTAAATGTATAAATTATTTATTTTTGTTTCCGATCACATCATATCCTATAACAATTGCGTGCATTAGATTAAATTCATCTTAATTTTTAATCAAAATACAATTTATTTTCTCTAAAATTTAAGAGTGACAAAGTTAATATTTCCTACTCCAATTGTAGTGTCATAGTACATGTTAAAGAAATAAAAAAAAAAACTTCTTTCTTAATACACTACATTTATATAAGTTTCAACCTAAACTTTTTTTTCTTAATAAAAAATTACCACTAAACCATTAGATTAGATTGTTTGCTGTAGAAGAATGATTGATAAAATATAATCTTAACATGCTACACTTACATAAGATTAGACTTAATCATATAATTTTAATTTTAATTTTTTATGAAAAAGAAAAATATCACTAAGCCGTTAGATTGTTTGCTGTCGAAAGAATGATTGATAAAATGTAAAGTTAACTATGATTTTTTTTTTCTTTTTTTATAATCTTTGTAGTCTCTAGGCTATAGCTCCACAGTTTGATAATGTGTACGTTTGAAAAACTATAAAACGACTATGGTTTTATATTAATCTGAATTGAAAACGACAACCCTGACATTTTCTGATTCTAAGCCGCTCCTTTCATTTGAATTTCATTTTTTTGACTTTCTGCAATTCTTCAAACATAATCCAGAAAAAAAAAAAAAAAGCATCTCCTTCGGACATTCCATTTGATTCTTCCACTGAATTTAGATGAAAAAGCAAGAAAAACAGGGGAAATTATAAATATCACATATTATAATTTAGAACATAGCTTAAATTCTGTACATTAGTGGCTAAAAGGGTTCCTGGATTCTGATACGGGTGAGATTCTTGGGAAGAATGGGTTAAATTAGTGGGAAGAAATGTGGAGAATGGAGTGAGGATTTTGTGGGATTCATTTTAAACATTGCATAGCTCCATCGAGCCGTAATCAAGAAGTTCTTCGATCATCTGCTCAATGTGATCCTGATCCTCTTCAAGAAACTTGAATTGTTGGGTGTTATTATGATCAATTTGAGTTTTTTTGGCCACCCAATTGGCCTCCGTCTCTGGCGCAGGCAATGGTTTCTTCTCCGGTAACCGGCTGGCCGTTTCAGTAGTTTTAGTTTCTATGCCATTGCCGGCGATAACATTTGGAGTGGGGGGCTTCTGGGGTTCTTGCTGTAATGACTGTTGCTTGGTCATTTGAAGTGATGCCATGTAGCACCTGTGGAGTTTGGCAGTGAGAGCGGCGGACAGAAGCTTCGACGACGAAGATTGCGGTGCATTGGGATTGTAAGGGAAGTTGGTCCTAGCCCTGGGACCGCACATCAGCCTCGCCGCTTCATCGTACGCCCGTGCAGCATCTTCAGCGGTTTCAAAAGTTCCTAGCCAAATTCTCGTCTTCCTGCAATATAGAAAAAGTTTCATTCCTTAATTAGTCAAAAGCAGAGTAAAAACTCAACTCATGAAAGACGTTTCAGAAATTCTGTTAACTTACAACAGAGGATGGCGGATTTCAGAGACCCAAGAGCCCCAATGCCTCTGACGGACTCCACGGTATCGCTGTTGTGGTCTGGCCATGTTGGTGAAAGTTGAAAAAGGAATGTTTGGAAAGTGTTTGTGGAAATGCCTGAATGAGAGATTAGAAAGTGTTAAGAACTAAGCAAGAAGAGAAAAGATGGTTTGCTAATGTAGTGGAGGGGAGACCGGGGGAGTTGGGGCCTTTTTGTAGTTGGCTGACATGAGCTCTTTTTTCTTGGCAACTCTCTGGAACCCAAATTGAGCGAAGAAAGGGTCCCACAAAGAGAGGTTTAGGGTATTAATTTCTTCTTTATCGTTACCAGTTGTATGATTAATAAATAAATAGTTAGTCTAAATTCAATCCACATGCTTATATTAATCAAAAATAATTTCATAATGTGATATGGTTTGTAGTTCTTACATCAATAAAATCTAAAGTTATATTTTCATCCAACTATGAGGGAAAAAAAAATTTTGAATTATTGCTTCTTCTTTTTTTGCTAAATTTTTTGCTGAATTAGTATCAATTTGTAAGTGAAATCTTTAAGGAATCTTTGGATTTTGGTTTTTGGGTTTTGTTTATTTTTTGAACAGCCTTTAAGTTTTGTTTCCAATACCAAATTGGGTACTTGAGAATGGTTATGATTTGAGTCAATCCAACATCATTGAGGAATCTTGGACCATAATAATTACCCAAATGATCAGTTTATCAAAATTTGCACTTATAAGATAAGAAAAAAAAATTTGAATAGAAATTAAATTGAAGGGTGTGGGGATGATAGGAACACGAGGAAGAAGGAAGATGGGATGGATTTTTCATGGGAGTGGGGTATTGTTGTTGGTTTGTTCTGGTTCATTGTTTGGGCAAGAATCTTGGCTGCTAAGTCTTGAAATCTGAAGCATACGCATACGTGTTTTTGATGGGTATGTCTCGTGTTTTCTGTTTATCCACATGCAAAAAGACACACCTTCACACGTTAGGAAGACCAAGTTTCGTGTTCTTACGAAGTTTAGGAAGACGAGTATTTTTGTTTCTATGTGATAAAAAAAATAACGTATGAATGCTTTTGCATCTAGCTCTTTGTTCACTAATTCACGGGGTATTGTGATTCAAATTTTAAACTTTTAACTTTCAAAATACTACATTATGAAGGTATTAACATGGTTAAAAAGTTAAAGGAAACTTGTCCAGAAATTTAAACTTAAAAATTTAATTAAAAATAATATTCTTTTGTTGTGATTTAATTTTTAGGTGTATAATAACAACAGGAATTAGGAAGCCGTTATCTTAACACTCTTTACATTAAAATAAAGTGTCAAAAGTGTGTATTAGAAGTCATAGTAAAACCTAGTGCTTTTCATTAAAGCTGTCACTTTTTTTTTTAAAGATCTTAAATCCTAAAAATTAACTATCTTCCACTAGATGGCTTTTTTTTTTTTTTAAATGAACAATATATAATATCTCTTGCAATTTGCCCTTCCCACAGCTCAATGTTCCTAATCTTTTTTTAACCATTTTCATGAAACTAATTTTATGAACTTTTGTAACCATATAAAAAATTGGATCTGTATATATTATAAAACTTAATTGGACAAAGTTTTCTATAATATGTCAATCAATAGTATTGGCAAAGTTTTTAAATAATGTTTTGGGACACATTTTGTGCCATTTTTAGAATTTTTTTTTTAAGTTCCTTTTTGTAAAAAATAATAATAATAATAACCCCAAGAAAAGTACCCCTTTTATTATAACAAGCAAATCTATTTTTTTAACCCCCAAAACCACTTTAACCCATCCTTTTTTTTAACTCACATATGGTGAAATGTTCGGACAAGAGTCACAAGAGCATAAGAAAAAGTTGAGACAAGACAACTAAACAAATTGCATGTAATCTTGGTAGAAAGTTTTGGTTTCCAGCTAAACCTTAGACTAAGGAGATGATGTAAGGATTAAGACCAAGTTCTTATGGTCCACAAAGAAACGCGTACGATGGGCCCAAAAAATAACATGGGTGATGAAATATGAAAGACGTATAGATAGACTTCTTTGAAAATAATTTATTGATAATATTCAATAATACAAACAAACATATTGAATAGTAGTGTTTTTATCGTTTTATTGACTTTAAACCCTTTTGTTAACAAATGTTACCGATAAAAATATTATCAATGAAACTATTTTCCAATTCTTATTACATAACGGTCTGTTTGAAGGAAAAGCAGACTAGTCTCGTGGCTAAGGCTTTGAGGCTAAAAGACAAAACATGCATTTGGACACCCAAAGACTCTTCTTCTCCTTCAAGATCCTACAATGTCACATGCAAACATACCAAATACCAATCCATTGAACCATTGCGAGAAAATGGGGTTGCATAAACAACATGGAATATCTAATTATCTATATGAATCAACTTAGGTTGTCTTTGTCATTTTATTTCTTTTGTTGCTTATGAGCTAGCTAGCTTGCATACACACACATTCCCCTTTTCATTTTATAACCTTTTCTTGGTTCTTTTTAATATAACTTTAGGTAATCATTTTATGCTACAATCCCTCCACTCAAGGGAAGGGGAAAAAAAAAAAAAACAATTGAAGTAGTTTAACATTAATTTTTTTTAATAAAAATAAAAAAATATTAAATTTAAGTCGTCCAATAAGATGTGAGTGAAGTTGCCTTATGTAATGAACCCAATTTTACAATTGTGGGACAGATTACACTTGTATACATTACAACCACATGAAGGGCAGTTGCAATTAAACCAATATTTGTGGTGAGTTTTGGCCTTGAATTTTTTGCACACAGCTGTGAAAACGAAAGGAGGAGAGAAAGTTCTTCTTTTTTTCCATTTTTCCTCCTTTGTTCTAACATCCTTTTGACAGATCTTAATCAGGAAGGAGAATAAATTTTCAACTTTAGGAAACTTTTACTAGGCTAAACGCGGTTTCATGGCTCTGCAAGAAACTAAGGAAGGGGATTATTATATATTTATAATTAAATTAAAAAGGACTAAGGGAAAGGGAAAGAATTGATAAATTGATGTGAAATGTTGCGTTAATCTTGAGGTACCATCCGTGGTCCGTGGGATTTGCCCAGCCTGGTTTTTTGAATTTTTGTAGCCTAACCTCATCATTAGTGTGACATGTGAAAAAAAGATATTTGCATCTTATCTCATTCTTTGCTACTATATCCATGTGCTTTCACTGTTTTGTCTCTCTATTTCAAATATCAACCTCTTATTCTCATCTACAAACAAATAAACAAAACAAAGCAAATTCAATTAACTCATTTTAATTTGAATGAGTAAAAGCACATTAATTTAAACCTCTTGACAAGCAAAAATAAATAAATAAGAATTATTATTACCTTATATATATTGTGAGAATTTATTATTAACAAACATTTTTATAAATTTGCTTATTTTTATTATAAATGGCTTAAACGTGTAAGTATATGAAGAAAATCAAAAAAGTGATGTTAAGTTTGCTTTATAATTATCGATGAGTGACAAACTTTTTGATATTTAGTAACGTAAAAATGGGCAAAAACAACTTTCTCTAAGAAAATAATAAGGGAAAATTTTAATAAAAATAGAAGATAGAAGGGTCCAAACAAATTGGTTAAGATGAAGCACATGTTTAGCAAACATGCAACAGTGGGAGACTGGGAGGCAGCCATGTGGGTTCATGACGGTAACCATTAATACCAAAAAAAAAAAAAAAATTATTCAACGAAATTTGTCCTGTTACACACTCTAAGAAAAAATCAACAAAAGTTATCTCTACGCGTCTTTGGTGTGTACTTGTAAGACAAACCAATCAGGAGATTAGAAGTGCCCCCTCTTATTATTATTATTATTATTATTTTTTGAACATGGCCCACTCTTATTAATTGATGCCATGTGCTGAGAAAATTTAAATAATTTCCTTTATTCAGTTAGTTAAAAAAAATTCATGTTTTTTTTTTAAAATTAAATTTTGATATTTAAAAATCACATTAAATTTCAATTATTTAGGTTGAGCCCATAAGAGAAAAAAACCACTTTCAACACTTATGTTTCTATTTTTATAAATTTAAATTCAAAATTTTATTTAAAAAATTAAATATTTTTTTACGCAGATGAAATTGTTGGAAAAGAATTTGCTCCTTTATACTAATAATAAATATATAAACAAACATTGTGACGTGTGTCCGTAAGTTGGGCTGACAATGACTTATAATGCTCAGGCTCAAAGCCTAGGCCCGTCCCATTCTTGAAGTGGATTGAGATTTGAAGAGGTCTCTGTACTTTAAACAACTGGTTTGGCCCGTTTACAACTGGAGGCCCATACACCCCCACATGGCGATTTAATCAGGCCCAATATCACATTCTTATGGGTCACAGGCGGGAGAAGGTCTGAATCTTGTAAGTATAAAAGGCTGAGTTTCGCGGTTTTATTGCAGTAGGGTTTTTTCTTTGAAGAACTCAAGCAGCGGCCACTTAAGACTCACGAAAATGGTATCCTCTGCCTCGCTTTCTCCTGGATCGATATGAACTTTTGTTTCTGAATTCTTAGTTGTTAATTCGTGTTTGATTATAATGATGTTCGGTTACTGATCTGATTTTGAAAATCGTCGTCAATCGATGAACAGCCGTCGCACAAGACATTCAGAATCAAGAAGAAGCTCGCCAAGAAGATGAGGCAGAACAGGCCGATTCCGAACTGGATCCGCATGCGCACCGACAACACTATCAGGTATAGTTGATTCTTCTGCGTTGATTTTATTTTTGTATTTTGTTTCGAGGAGTTTTTGCCGAAGATTTCCGTGTTTGGTTTGGTTTGGTTTGGTTTGGTTTTCAGGTACAATGCGAAGCGCAGGCACTGGCGTCGCACAAAGCTTGGATTCTGAGGTGCTTGGCTAGCTCCTCTAATTTGATTTTTCAAAACCTTTTCCGTTTCTCTCATGTTTTCTGTGTTTATGCGTTTGGTTGTTATATATTAGTGTTATTTTAGTTGTATTGCATTATGTTTATGGTAACAAAGTTTCTCATCATTCGTGTAATGTTATATTCTTCTTTCTCCTTTGGTTGTTGCAAATATTTCCTTTGGAGAGTACTATGGATACGGCCACTATTAACTCTTATCATTTTACTGGTGAAGACTGTATCGTGGTTAACTTTGTGTGTTAATTTTCTCTACGTACATGATTACAATTCTCTGTATTCTTGCAACAACTCTAATAAACTGTGGGAAGAAGATTTCAATTTAGAGGATTTATCAGCAGGAGTATTCTCATTTACAAATAACTGCCAATACTATTTCTGACTTTTTGGAGTCTTTTGAGTTAGTTGAGGTTCAATTTTATTGCTACTTAATGTAGTAGCTGAGTCAGGGCAACTAAGTCCTTTACTCGATTGAGGTATTTTGTTAAAGATCTTGCTGGTTGGTTTGGTTTTCAGGTGTAGTGCAAAGCTTGGCTTCGGCGGTGCTTGACTGGCTTACTGAATCAATATAAAGATTTTTCCCTTTTTTTTTTTTTCTGTGACATCTGAATGGAGCTTAGGGTTTTGTATAAGAATGCCTCCATCCACTTGTAAGAGAACTCATGGGAGTAATTTGAACCATATTTACTGTTTTATCACATTTATTAGCTGAGGAAAATTGAAAGTTCTATTTATCTGAGTGATGTATCTATTCTGTGTTTTCAAATTTCAGTAGTATTTTGGTAATGATGATTGTCAGTTCTGTGTTGAATGAAGCTAATTCTCTTTCTGAGATGTGGAGAGTACTATTGATATGGCAGCTACTAAACACCTGGCATTTTATTTAAGCGAAGACTGTGTCAGTGGTTAACTTTGTGTGTTTGTTTCTTCTTCATTAGTTTGCTTTGCATTTGCTTTAGCTGGAAATTTGGATTAGAATGCTGCAAAAACACATGCATGGGATTCTCTGAATTCTCTCAACATCTTCAATAAACTGGGGAGATCCTTCTTTGGAGAAAATTCTTCAATCTGGAGCTTTTATTATCATGGTATGCTCATTAGAAATAACTGCAGAAACTGTTTCTCAAGTCCTCCAAGCTAGTTGAGCTCTTTCATTTTGATGCTTTTCCATTGTTATGGCTGAGTCAGGGCAACGAAGCATCCTACTCCATTGAATTTTTTCATCCAACCAATTTTTCTCATTTTCAAAATAATTTTTAGTTAAGGGAAATGTTTTTTTGTATAATTTTTTTATCTTATTTTTTTGTATAATTTAATATGTTATTAAAATAATTGATATTTTTAATTTATGTGAATTTATATGAAACTTATAGTATTAAATGTATTGATTTATTTAATAATATATAAAAATTATATAGAAAAATTATTTCTATAACTCTATCATTAGTTTGGAAGCCAATGTCTCTCTCATTTTCGGTTAAAGTGCGAGAATTTCTCAGCTTTTGGTTCTTTTATAATCTTCTGCATGAAACAAATGAAATCTCAATCCATCTTCAAAATCATGTCATCCTCGTTGCCTCGATTTTCACAAAAAAAAAAAACAAATTGTTGCCTCGAAAGTCGAACAACATGAGATTTCGACGGGGATTTACTGAGTCTGTGACTCACGATTTGGCTAATCCTTAAATAATTTAAAATTTTAGATCAATTAATACCACTTAAATAATTAAAAACTATCTAATTATAGCATGTTTAAGCTCAGTTAAAAAAAGAAAAAAATCATGAGCCAACTTCTTTTTCAATTTTACATAGCATTTCATAACGGAAAAAATCCATAAAGTTCTCTTTTCTTGTAAAATTGCCTAGCCTACCCCACTTCCATTTCAATTTAGTTTCCACGCAAAGCGTGGCAAGGTGCCTCATATAATTTTCCTAACAGAGACTTTATTTTCTTGAAGGTAAGCTTAGTAATTAGTGTGTAGTCTAAACACTCAACGAATATCCCCTCTAATATCCCCTCCTTTGTAGTTAAGAGCTTAAAATTATAAATTAAAATTTTTAAATTTAAATTTTAAAACGTATAGAAAAATATATATAAAAAAAATATTACTTATTTATCATACAGCCTATCATTTAATGTACTAGAAACAAATTGGTGTGGAGTATGAAAACAGAGATAATTAACCTGTCTTGTTCAAGATCAACAAAAATATATGCTACATCGAAAAACAAACAAAAAATGTGGGTTTCAAAAAAATGTGTCCCTTCCAAGTTCTTTATTTAGTTGTGTTAAGATATGAATATAGTTATATTTAGAATTATTGTAAATATTTTATACTTTAGAATATTCTCTTTGTATACTTTATATTTTAGAATATTCTCTTTGTAAACACCTATATATAAGTCATTGTACATACAGTATAATTCAAGAAAGCGATAAACCTTTCTTCAGATATTTCTCCTTCTTTTCAGTTTCTTACATGGTATCAGAGCTATAAGCTCTTGGTTCTTTTCTCTTATCATCGATGTTGGGTTTTTTGGAGTTGGATTTTCAATTCCATTTCAGATCTGAAACCTTGTCATTGGGATCTCTTCTCATACAGATTGGATTGTTTATCCTCGATTCTCAAACCTTTTCTTAGGTATTTTATTGGTTTGTTATTTCGATCTTGACATCTATTTCTCCATATTTTTAGAGTTTTTCAGTATTATGAGTTTATTGATTCTATGACGAGTTTTGAAAGGATTGTAACTCATCCTGCTACTGCTACGGTTGCCAAAGAAGTGATAGAACAGCTTAATGTCAACCTTGAATCCCTAAAACAGGTGATATTAAATCTTTTTAATGCTCCTACTGCCTTATCTACTGTTCCGGGTACCAAACCTTGGTATTTCGATTCTGGTTGTTGTAACCATATGTCTTCAATTACTACTCATTTCTCTTCAATGTCACCTAATAATTCCTTTCCTGATATTTATTCTGCTGATGGTTCCCCTATGAATGTTAGTCACATTGGTAATGTTTCTACAAAGTCATTGACTTTACCAAATGCCCTTTTAGTTCCAAAACTTAGTTATAATCTTCTATCAGTCGGTCAATTATGCAATCTTGGTCTTGAAGTAACATTTTCTGCTCATGGTTGTCGTGTGCAGGACCCACAGACAGGACAACTTCTTGGAACTGGTCGCAAGGTGGGGTGTTTGTTTGAGCTCAACTATCTGCATATTCCTGATAATAAAATGGATACACCGTTATTTCCAAATGATCGATTCATCCAAACCCTGCTTTGTGCTATTGAATTAGAGTCTTTGCAAATTCCATATCAACAAATCCTCTAAGTCTGTGCTGCTACTAACATTTCTCCTCTCTATTTGTGGCACTCACAACTCGGACATACCTCTGTCGGTAAACTTCGTCCACTTATCTCTCATGGTTTATTAGGATCAGTTCCGAATGAATCTGTGCATTGTGTGTCATGTCAATCTGCAAAGCAACCAGCTTTATCTTTTTCGAGTAATCATTCTCATTCTATTGCTCCTTTTGATCTTGTGCATTCTGATGTTTGGGGTCCATCTCCTACACCCACCATGGGGGGTTCCAGGTACTTCGTGTTATTTATTGATGATCATACTCGTTTTACTTGGATATACCTTATGAAAAGTCGCTTTGAATTATCACAAATTTATATTGATTTTGCTACCATGGTCAAAACCCAGTTCTCTAAAATTATCAAAGTTTTGAGAACTAATAATGCTACTGAATATCTTGGTACTAAACTTCAATCTTTTTTGAAAGAACAGGGTACACTGCCACAACAATCTTGTCCTTATACTTCTGAACAAAATGGGCGAGCCAAACGCAAACACAGAAACATCCTTGATTCTGTTCGTGCTCTGCTCATTTCATCCTCTTGTCCAGAGCAATTTTGGGGTGAGGCTGCTCTTACAGCTGCTTATCTTATTAATCGCATTCCATCATCAATCCTTAATAACCAGTCTCCATATGAGCGTCTACATGGTATTCTTCCTGCTTATAATCTTCTTAAGGTTTTTGGTTGTGCATGTTTTGTTTTTCTTCCACCTCATGAACATAACAAGTTAGAACCTAGAGCTCGACTATGCTGTTTTTTGGGTTATGGGATTACACAAAAAGGATATCGTTGTTAGGATCCTGTGCCACAAAAACTCTGAGTTTCACGTCATGTTGTCTTTTGGGAACACACTATGTTCTCATCATTGTCAAACTTCAAAGTGTCATCCTCTCATCAACCTCCATTTTTTACTAATCCTTCTATTGAGCTATTTCCTAGTGATTCTAATGCAAGTACATCTAATGAGCTCTACAATGCCCCACCACATGCTCCAACCAGTTCTGTAGAAGATGATCTGCCTGCTGGTAATGCATTAGATAATTTTGAGCCTTCTTCTACTTCCTCGTCTACAAATGAGCATGTTGTCCCATCCTCGAGTCATCCTACTCGGGTAAGAAAGCCTTCAAACTACCTTCGTGATTATCATTGTTTTCCTGCTATTACTTCGTTACATGAGCCTCAATCCTATCAAGAGGCCTCTTCTAACCCTCTTTGGCAACAAGCTATGCAAGATGAATTACAAGCTCTTGAGAACACTCCTACATGGGATTTAGTTGATCTCCATGTTGAAAAATCTCTAATAGGCTGTAAATGGGTGTACAAGATCAAAACGCGATCTGATGGTTCTATGGAGCGTTATAAGGCACGCTTGGTTGCCAAGGGTTTTACACAAGAGTATGGAATCGACTATGAAGAGACATTTGCTCCAGTTGCTCGTCTTACATCTGTGCGCAGTTTGCTTGCTATCGCTGCTATACGGAGATGGAAATTGTTTCAGATGGATGTGAAAAATGCTTTTCTTAATGGTGACCTAGAAGAAGAAGTTTATATGAAACCACCTGCTGGGCTCCACCATCCTCCAAACAAGGTATGTCGATTGCACCGTGCATTATACGGGTTGAAGCAATCCCCTCGAGCCTAGGATGCAAAGTTTAGTGCTACTGTGAGTGAGTTTGGTTTTACTTCCAGTCCACATGATACAGCTTTGTTCATTCGTAAGACTGCTTGGGGTATGGTTCTTTTACTTCTTTATGTTGATGACATGATTATTACTGGAGATGATGTCGTAGGTGTTGAGGAGTTAAAACAATCTCTCAGTCAGAAATTTGAGATGAAAGATCTTGGTGTTCTTAGCTACTTTTTGGGGCTTGAAGTGACCTCTTCAAATGATGGCTACCTGCTTTCTCAAGTAAAGTATGCCTCCGATCTTGTTTCTAAAGCTGAACTCAATGATGGAAAAAGTGTTTCTACACCTCTTGAACCTAATGTCAAGCTTACACCTATGGATGGCTCTCCACTTTCTGATCTTACTCGCAATCGGCAATTGGTTGGTAGTCTAGTTTATCTTACTACGACACGCCCTAATATAGCATATGCAGTTCACATTGTTAGTCAATTTATGGCTACTCCTCGCTCCACTCATTATGCAACAGTACTTCGCATTATTCGCTATGTTAAAGGAACATTATTTCATGGACTCCATTTTTCTGCCAACTCCTCCCCTGTGCTTTGCACTTACTTTGATGCTGATTGGGCCGGTGATCCTTTTGATCGTAGATCTACCACCGGTTACTGTCTTTTCCTTGGTAATTCTCTCATCTCTTGGCAGAGTAAGAAACAAGCTATTCCATCTCGCTCTAGTACTGAAGCTGAGTATAGAGCTCTCGGGGATACCACATCAGAACTTCTTTCATTGCGGTGGCTTCTTGAAGATATGGGCATTCATTAACCTTCCTCTACTGATTTATATTGTGATAATCAAAGTGCTATGCAAATTGCTCATAATAATGTCTTTCATAAACGCACTAAACACATTGAGGTTTATTGTCACTTTATTCGCCATCATGTTGCACAAGGAACTGTTCATTTGGTTTTCATTGGCTTCGTTGATCAACTAGCAGATCTCTTTACCAAGGCTCATTTTCCTGGACGCTTTCGTACTCTTCTTTCCAAACTCAAGTTGATTTCATCACAACCACCTTGAGTTTGAGGGTGGATATTAAGATGTGAACATAGTTATATTTAGAATTATTGTAAATATTTTATACTTTAGAATATTCTTTTTGTAAGCACCTATATAGAGGTCATTGTACATACAGTATAATTCAAGAAAGCAATAAACCTTTCTTCAGATATTTCTCATTCTTTTCAGTTTCTTACAAGTTGAAAGGTATATATTTTACAAAAGGTCTTAAAAATTGGAACATTCTAAATCTCTCATACATCTTTTTTCCTTTCCCAACATCAAAACCAGTTGGTTGCCCATAAAAAATTTAGAAAAAAAAAAAAAAAAAAAGACAGAGGAAATTAGTGGGTTTGCTTGCAGAAAGAATTGGAGGTTAGGCCCAACAATCTTACAATTGAGGTTAGGCCCAGAAGGGATGCAATTGAGACATATAGGTAACGGGCTGGCAACTTGAAAATAAAACCGTAGCCCTATAAAAGCCCCCCCATTTCCTGCTCTAAGGGTTCGTTCGACTAGGGTTTCTACTCCACCGAAGACTCAGCAGCAGCAGCAGCCACTCCGGAGACCCGAAGATGGTATCTCTCTAACCACCCTCCGTCATCGTATTTGATTTTCGCATTCGTTTTGTGCTCAAATCCTGTTTGATTGTTTGTTTGGGTTGAACTAATCATTGGAATCTCTGTGAAACGATGAGCAGCCGTCGCACAAGACATTCAGGATAAAGAAGAAGCTCGCCAAGAAGATGAGGCAGAACAGGCCCATCCCACACTGGATCCGGATGCGCACTGACAACACCATCAGGTTTGCCCCATTCTCGTCCGCTTAATCCTTTCTTTTTATTATATATATATTTGGTGTATTTTAGCTGAATTTTGCTCCGGTTTGGTCTGGTTTCCAGGTACAACGCCAAGCGCAGGCACTGGCGCCGTACAAAGCTCGGCTTCTGAGGTGCTTGGCAGGAATTCCATGCTCCTTTTTTGCTCATTTATCTTGTCTTTGGATTAGTTTTAAGACATATGAAGTTCATGGCTTTGTGTCAGTAATTTAGGATCTTTTAGGAGGAACTCATAAGAGTCCTTTTTCAGACAAGTTTATGTGTTAATTTAAAATTTTAAATTGTGGGTTGAATTTTGGTTCTTCAAATGTTATGCCATGATTTGTTTCTTATTGCCTTAGTGATTCTCTGAGTCTCTTTTTTATGTTGTGATTGCTTGGTTTAATTAGCAATGGTCCATAATGACTTATCATGATGCTTTCTTTTCTTCTTTGCATTCATGCACTGGGAATTGTTCGGAATTCCAGATATTTGCTTCCGACTGGATTGTTCAATAGAGTTTCTCCTTTTCTTTTCCAGTTTTTGGTTGCTTTATTATGCTTTAGCGTAGGCAAGATGGTATCATTGTTTTTAATCATCTCTTTATCAGATTAGGGGCATCTGAATTTTGTTACCAGTAATTGTTATGTTGCATCGGAAGGGATAATTTGACTTGAACTTCTCAGTTAATATTGAAAATGAGTTAAGTTTGTTCTTCTCTAGAAGTTTCAGTTTGTTTTTGCCGGTTATTTGGATTGAACTTAGAAGTTAAAGAATGAGTATAATAACTTTGAACGCACCCTGTATTATTGTCTTTTAATTTACATGATAGTTTCCCATGAATTTTTTTCTCTAACTTTGTGTGCTGGATATATTTAGTTCTAGTAGTGACAGAAGAATTACAGCTTTCTAGCCAATGCCTGTGTTTTTGGAAAAAGTTTCTGCTGATGATTTTCAAGCAGCATGTTTTAATATGATATCAATTATAAGAACTGCCTAGTTACTGTGTTTCCAAATTCCAGTTTCCCATATTTCCCAAACCATTTCGTTACTGACTTTCAAACAAATATGTTGTCATTGCGAAGGGCAGCATCTTTGAAGTCTTAATGGTGTCATATGTTTGAAGCTTGAATATATATGGAATTTAGCTTAAATTAAAGAGGTTGCTTTGTTCTTCTCTTATCCTCTAGAATCAATTTGTGGGACGTGAGTTATATTTTGGTTTCTTCCCAGTAGATTAATCCTCTTTGTGAGATTATGGATATTTTAAGTATCATTAAAATGTGTGTTTCTTGTGAATATAATCTCACCTCCATTGAAAATGTGAAAGCAATACAATTCAATGATGTTGTGTCTGTGTGTATTTAATTTCAATTTTTATTCACAACCTATACTGAATGGGAAATTCATGGATTTCTCACTGTTGTCCTTTAAACATTTTCCATCTAAAAACATGTTTCTTGTGAATATACCTAAAAAAATGATATTCCCTATGTTCTTTTGAAGTTGCATAATCACGTTACATATTCCAATAATCACACATATATCCATAAACAGAAAAACTTTGTAGATATTAAAATTTTAGTTACGGCATGTATGGTTTGAAGGAAGAGGAGGGGAATCCCTCCGTTTAGCCCCTTTCCTCTCATTTAGCCTCTTTCCTCTCATTTAGCCTTATTGTATATTTAGGTTAAGAGGAAGGGAGGGATGAGGAGGAAAAAATATTTTAACTAATTAAACTATAAAAATAAAAGGTTTTTTCTCGTTTTTTATTTTCCTTTTTCTTCCATCCAAACATATTATTAATTTAGATTGAAGGAGTTGGAGAAGAAAGGAAATAGGAGGGGGAGATGCCTCTTTCTCATGTTTGAATTATTAATTTTAATGGAAGAGAGGGTGATAGAACTCCCTTCGCACCTGTATTTTCAATCTTTTCAAATGTAAGGGATTGGAAAGGATTAGTTCTATATATTTAAAATTTTATTAAAAAATATAAAAATATAAAAATATTTTAAAAAATATATATCAATTTGATTGTTAAAGTAAATGAAAATTATAATTTAAAATTATTTTATTTTATTAAAATTTAATTTAAAAATTAAAAATATATATTATTAAATATTAATATTTAAATTTAAAAACTAATTATATTAGAATATATAATTAATTTTTAAATTTAAGTATCAACATTTAATAGAATAAATTTTTTGAATTTTGAATTGAAATTTTGCTTTCCAAATATAGGTTAAGTCTTAATTTTTTAGAATAAAAAATAATACACATTAACATCTAAATATTTTGTATCAATGATTTTGTTAATTAGTAAATCTTAAAATTAATATCAATAATTTTCTTTCCTTCACTTCTCCTTTCTTCCCTTCTCCTCTCCCATTCTTTCTCTTTACTAATTTTTATCCAATCAAGCACTTAGAAAAATAAAGCAATGAATTTCCAAATTCTATACTAACCAAATAAAAATAAAATTCACCACTTTTCTCTTTTCTCTTTAAACCAAACATATTATTAAA